CGGTAGTTAATGGACAAACGGCAACTGTATAAAAGAAGAAACAATACCACTTGGTTCTTTGATATAGAGTAGAATGAAAGAAAGAAGTGTTGTCAGCAAATATATAATTTTTCTTGTATATCTGTGTGCTCTTGTTCTTTGTGCTTAAGTATGTCTGTTGCACAGGTGAAAAACTATGACCTTGGAAGTGTGAATGAACACTAAAGGGAGGGGACATATGGACCTTGTCAAAAATATAAGGCTTTAACTTAGGATAATGTAGTATTTTAACAAATATGTTTCAAATTATGAATTTCTATCCAGACTTACTGCCATCTGGTCCACACTTTCAAGGTCAAAGGTCCTGAGTAGCAAACAGTACTACATCTTTCCTGTTTCTCACTTTGGTTATTTGTGTTCAGTCCCAGGAAAATCTGTATGAAACTTGTGGACAAAATGGTACTGGGATAGGTTTATTATATTCAGGCATTTTGTTTTCCCCAACATGCACTTTCATCATCATCAGGAGCAGGTACAATATATCAAGTTAAGGTTACAGCGCCAAAGAACTCAGATTCATCTGTTTCTGTTGTTTCATTATAATTTTTCATGTCAGATTTGCTTGTTCTGTAGTACAGATGATGATATCACAAGTGACTGCAGTTACTTTTAAATTTAAAAAAATGTCATACCAACATTACTGAAACATTCTTGTGACAAAGCTTAACCATTGCCCTGATTATCACAAGATATCTCAAATTAAAATCATTGCAAGAAAATATTAACCAGAGTTAATAAATAATAATATTTTTTCTTCTGTCCTACTATTACTAAACCAAGTTAATTCCAGCCATGAAGAAAATGCATGTATCAGACTACAGATGACAGTAGAAGACAAATCTGCTGTACTTTCATAAGCCACTTCTATTTATACATTTTTATGCTAGAATGCATATGAATAGGGCTTTTATGCTTCTGTGGTATGTTTGATAGGTTTATGCACTATCTGCAGTGACATTTGTGTGCTGTGATTGTGAAGAAGTTAATTTTTACAAATGATGGAAAGTGATTCCAAGATAACTCAAGTTAATGATGATGATGATAATAATAATAATAATAATAAACATCATATTTGGCCAACATCCCAGGCGAACAAGACATTAGGGAACTTCAGAAAACCGCCATTCTAGGATCACACATCATTCAAAAGATGCTCACATAAAATATACAATGCCTCACGCAAAATCTGTTTAATGCATATAGCGTATTAAAAAACAAATTTATTTCAGAAATAGCTGCTGCACTATGTACCTCATGGGCAAGGTTTTTCTCAGGTACATAGAAGTAAATACCCTGTAAAATGGTGAATAGATGGAATAATAATAATCATTATAGCTATATAAACAATATTTTGTACAACATGATTATATATTCTGCATCAAAACACATCAACAATTTCATTTTTGTAGGTATATTCCAAATGTGAAATAAATACGATTTTTTTGGGTCATATTTTCAGAAAAAAATAATCAAGCAAGCAGTTAAAAGATCAGCTGCCAGTGTAAGTGGTGATGCTTGTATAAATCAAACAATGGAAGAGTCCTGAAAATGTACCTTACAGTAACTTAACTTCATGGAGCACAGTCCTTCTTGAAAAGCTATTAGTATGCTAAGCTAGTCATGAAATTCCCTGTTTTTTATGAAATCTGATGGACCAATACTGTGTTCACAAGAGGATGAACCCCAGTTACTGTCAACCACACCACAACTATCACAATGAATAGGTGAGAACTGCATTGGGTCCTAGATGCACAACTTCAATCCATAACCTGCACCAAAATAACTAATATAACTTAGTAGTGAGAATGATCATACACTGATATAGACCATAACTGCTATAAAATAAACCATTTCCTCTAAATTCCTCTTCAAAAACTGCTGCAAATCCTAGAAATGTATGACATAACTTCACCATATTCTATTAAATCAAATGAAACCTCATATAAAGTCGAATTATGATGTGTAAGGTTATGCCTTTCTCCAGGAAACATGCAAAATTTTCAAACGTGGACTCATAGCTAAATGTATTTTAAAACTACCTCAACATCTTCAATATTTAAAGAATATCTGACACTACAGGGAGGATATCTGGCAGCTACGCCATGGCACAGCCTTTCCACAGGAATCAATTGTTGGCTGATGCAAGTCAGCAGTGATGGATGACGAGGAAGCATTGTATTTCTTTGTGACATTCACGTACGGATCAATGCTGTACAAGACTTCTTTTTTGTGGAACATAACTGGTATCTTTAGTCAGTAAGGATATTTAAAAACAAGGCTACCAAAAAAAATCCAAACATTAAAGAACTCGGATAAATCTTTCATCTTGAAGTATCCCATATATCCAGAGAACTTCAATGTATAAGCCAGAATATGTTTAGAAGGTGGGAGGAATGTATCTGAGCCAATGGGGAATATTTTAAACATCTTCTGTCACACAGTTAAATAAAATTTACCATATAAAACTGCTGCCAACTAACTATCACTGCAAGTGACTGACTAGGAAAGATGGCAAGAAATGCAGTGTTCAGGCATGGTGGAAAAAAGTTTGCCATGATGTAGCCACTAAATATTCTCCCTGCACAAAAGCATTCCATTAACAACAAACAGACCCAAACATTTCAATTGTATCAATACTTCCTGGATTGGACCAAAGGATAAGAACTAATGTTAGATACTGGACATTTTGGGATCAATGTTATGACTGCATTGTGATTACAAAATGTATATCATATAATTTACATGTTCATTAAAAAATAAGGTTTATACACAGTGTTTTGTGACAAGACACTTTTTTAGGAAAGGATTAAATATATTAGCACAGTAAATTTTAATTTATGAAAAAACTTTTAACAATTTTACTTCACAAATATGCTTATAACTCAAAGCAAAATATATGTTAAACAGTTGCAAGAGTTAATTGGTATTGTGCTAATTATTCAGTATTCAACAAAGTTTTGATTTTAACAGAAAATTTTGCTGTATTACTTGTGAAAACGTACAGGTGAACAGGCACTCAAAAAAGTTTGCTGATTGTAGAATTTGTTCAGAAATATTATTTTATGCAAGATATGGATGGAAGCTTTACATTATCACATAAAATTACAGTCAAGTTACCTAAAACACTAACACAGTTTTATTTATATTAAACTTTCTACAAATGTTTTCATAACTTTGAAGGAATTATGATCAGAGTTTTGCAAGCTATTATGAGGGTTGTTCAAATGAAAAACATTCATGGCATTGCTACTGAAACAGCTGATCATATATAATCATGTGGCTTTGTATATGGCACACCAGCAGTCAACCGTAAACTGTGCAATGCAACAGATGTGTCAGACCACAGGGGAATGCTGTGACATGATTAAACCGTGTTCCAGGTTCAGAATTCATCTAACAATGATCAAGTTCTCATTCAGAGCCTTGGTGCTGAAAGTTCAAGAACCCTGATATCACCATCAAAACACAGCACTAATGTAGAACCCTCCTAGGCCTTTCTACCACCAAGATCAAGCATCCCAGGGTACTCATCATAATGCACAACAGTACACATTCCATGTGGCCCACACTGTCCAGAACATGCTGGAAGATGGTGGACCATTTCATACAGCCTAGACCTGTTGCTGTATGACTTACATATATTTGGCCCCCTGAAGAAAGTGCTATAGGATCACACACATGGGTCAGACAAAGACATCAAGGCCACAGTGGTGCAGTGGTTCAAGCATCAACTCCAGAAGTTATTTGCAAAGTGTGTCCATCTATGGTATGCCTGACTCAGTGCCCAAAAGTCAGTGTTTCAGCAGCCTCTACTCCTTTGACCACAATACTTGAATATGTTTCACTTGAAGAGGTCTTGTATAATATTGGCTCTCTTTGCTTACATGTATGGAAACAACCAATTAACACAAACATGTTGCAAATACCATATTAAATCATATGACAGTTTTTAGTAATTACAGCATTAAAAATATTTTGCCATTATAGTTTCCTTCTTTCACCTATCAGCAAACCCATAAATCTGCATGTACAAAGTGGTCTCTTAGTTATGAAATGTATTTTTTGGATAAAATTATAGACAACACAGAGAATTCCTTGCAAATGTCAGAAAATGTATATACTTTTCAACATTTTTCTTACATGTACTTCATATGGGGCATAACCATTTACTTGAAGATTTCCCTTTCCTTTAGTGTGGTCTTGAAGCTCCTTTTTAAAGCTCTGTACATAGTAATATCTAACACAAATCAGTATATGCACTGCTTCCTGATATCTCTAATCAAAAGCACTTTAACTTCAACTTCCTTGATAGACTCTGTTGCATCTTCTCAGCACATGACAGTCTGGCTGGTTAAGTTGTACCACCATGAAGTTAACCAGAGTATCCAACTATCATAGAACGCCTAGCTGGCCCAACTGCATGAAAGAAACAGAAGACAGTAAGACATTGTTTCAATATATAAAATTAGCCACTGAGTAAGAAGATGCAACATGTTAGTTGGAATCAGGATCATCTTCAGTATAATCTACATCCAAAAATCAGATCCACAGACCTTTTCTGAGCTTCAGCTCTCTCTTAATCTACAATACAGTTGCTAGTATTTCTTTGTTTTCTAGGCTTATATATCAGCATTTCATTTAGTCCCATTCTTTCTAACTTTTTTCCTCATGAAGAGTACAGGTGTCACATGGAAGTAATTGTACAGGCAAATACATTTAAAATTTTAGGACAGGCATCCATATTTTTATGACCATTAAAAACTGTATTTCTTTGACTAGGAATTCAAAGCCTATATATTAAAAAAAATATCAGCATTGCCAACACAGATTATGTTCTTGTTCCATTCTGGTTACAATGCTTAAATGAAACCTCCCTGGAAACAAAATATTATAATGCATAAGTGTGAACATGTGTACTCCTTTCCATGTTATAGATGTACTTCTGATGAACCATTTCATTCTGAAAGCAGTCTACTCAGCATAAAATTAGGAATGAAAAAAAAATTCAGCACCAAGTTGCCTGCATGTGGGGACAGACACACATGGCATACCTCTTTATCGTGAGGAAACAACCTTATATACAATTCTGTACATAAAAAAACACCTAGTATTAGAAGGGTTAAACAGGCACAAATAAAAACTCCCAGACAGCACATGATGAGATGCTATAAATGCACTTTTATGTTTCATCCACTATAATATGTTGCTATTTAACAACTTACCAAGGTTTGTTTCTGTTCCTCTTTCTGAAGTACTCTCGATGTTTGCTCTGTGTCAAATTTTACAACTGCAGCAATTACACGAGCAAGAACCTGAATAACAAATTATAGCAATGGTACTTAATAAAGGGACTGTTTCAGTCTTAAAACCAGAGACATTCATTTTTTGACGATGTTATAAAAATTGATTTCAGAATAAATAATGTCTGGTGAATGCTCAGATTGCAAGATTCTAAATCCCACCAATGGAGAATGTTACCACAGTACAATTTATTTTCCTAAAATTATCTTTAATATAATCTTCTCATGTCTGTTCTTTCCAAGTGGTTATTTTCAACTAATTTTAGACCAATATTTTGAATGTCTTTCATGTAACATACATTTCAAACTACGTATATGTCTGCCTCTTATAACCTTGTTTCAACTACTATACCAATCCTAACAGAAGTACTTCAAATTCTTCATTACATCATTTTGACCATTCTCTACTTCTATTTTCACTCCATGAACTAATCCCACGGAGCAGAATCCTTCTTGAGTAGCTAACAACTGCCCAGCTGAACAAGATATCCCATACCCTTTATGAAACTTGAAGGTCCATTATTATTACCATAAGCATATCTCTTGTCCCTCTTCTGAATTAAAATAATACAACCCTCACAGCCTAATTTTAAAGATCCAGTTTGTTACCATTACACCTGTGCCTGCTTAGATCTCTGAAGTGGTCTCCTACCTCCAGGTCTGAGACCAAATTTTGTATATATTTAACATACAAACATTATGAAGCTTCTCATTATACAGTTTTCTCCAGCCTCCTGTCACAACCTCACTCCAAGTTCCAATATTCTCTTCAGCACCCTTTTCTCAAACACCTTCAAACTGTATTCTCCCCTCATGGATAAGAGACCAAATATGACACCCACACAAAACAAGAAACAGAATTACAGTCTTGTACAGTTTAATCTTTACACTTTTAGATAGGAGATGGGAAAAGAAAAAATTCAGAAGTGACTAGCAGAATACTTTCCCCAAATTTAATCCTCTCTATGGTTTTAATCTTGAGATGAACATTGGATGAAACCTAGCATGACAATGATAAAAGCAGTATTCCTCAATAATTACAATAGTAGTTTAACTGCACTTTTTATAAATACGTAAATTATTACATTCCTTTCACTTATATATCAATTTTTCCTTATTCTAAGTAGAACAAACATCTTTGTGAATATCACAACATACTGTTTTACCTTCTGAATGTATCAATTCTGCCAAAATTTGATCAATACCTGGCAATTTATACCTTTGAAATTTTTTATCATCAATCTCAAACTCAAAAGAACTAGGTTCCACTACTAATTGCTCAGCCATATGTATTTAAATCGGCTTAACATTTCTTTCATAATATGGCCAAATATTTTCCTTGAGTCCATACTTTCATATTTATTATACATCTATTAACTAGCCAAAATATTGTTAACAGTACTCTGTTACTCAGCCTCATTCAAGACTTCCTAAACTGATTCTCACTTATTAACTGCTAGTAGTGTACTTACCATAGGCTCCTTGCCCATCATGTATTCATATAAGATATTACGTAAATACTCCAACTCTGTACAAGCATCTTCTAGTGTTGAGTGTACAGACATTCTCTTTGATGAATCTGATGTTCTTCTTAGAGATAAGAGATGACGTAATTCATTAACTTCAAGCCTGTTACAATCATCAAGGTTCACATAAAAATACCATAGAAATATTTTCAAACACTTCTAAATTATGTTAGACTTGAGGTTCTCACAGCGGTGAGTATGAAGATTTCTGTCTTCTGGGTTATTGCGCTGTGTAGTCCGGTTGATGGTTACCAACATTTCAGAGGTCATACTGCCTCCATCATCAGGACCCTGACGGAGGCAGTATGACCTCAGAAACGTTGGTAAACATCGACCAGACTACACAGCACAACAACCCAGAAGACAGGAATCTTCATACTCATCGCCCTGATGACGGAGGCAGTATGACCTCTGAAACGTTGGTTAACATCGACCAGACTACACAGCGCAACAACCCAGAAGACAGTCACTTCTAAATTATGTTACTTCCTCAATGTCAGAGAAGAAATTTCACAATTATACAAGACAGCTGGAAACTTTATGGATTAGCTTTACAATATAACTGAGAGGAAGACAAAGAAACAGTGATGAAATAAATCTAACCTGTGCAGCCTCTTTACTTCTTTCAGCTCACTTGTCTGAGCCACCAGCTGACGATGTAATAATTCTATACTTCCTGTCCCACTTTCCACTGCTGCTACAGCTAACTGACTTGTGTTCTCCAGCTCCTGATAATGACAAGAACGCCAGTACTACTCTGCTCACAAGTTAAAATGATATACATGAAGAAAAAGATGTAGCAACTAGGAGAAAGATTTTTAAGAAATGCTGCACTAACTCCTCATCCTTAAAACTCACTTCAATGAAAATTCATTAAATGGACACTAATTTTACATACCTTAAAAAGATAGTGTCCTTTTTAAACATATTTATGTATAATTAACAGTAATGAAAGGTAAATAAACTGGGGATACTGGGAACGACCTGTTCTTCAAGTGCCTGAGCACTGCGGATCCCAACTTTTCGTTGGCTTGATCTATAGACATTCGGTAGGACTCCTTGGACGAGGGATCAGCCCTCAACAAGACCTCTACCTGTACACAGGACAGCACAACACAGAAAAACGCAGACAAACATCCATGGCTTGAGTGGAATTCGAATCCACGGTCCCAGCGACCAAGCAACACAAGGCCCACGCCTCAGACCGCGCGGTCACTGTGGACCCCAGGTAAATAAACAGTATAGATATATGTATGTATTTACTATGGTGATGATGAATACTGTAGGTCATAATAGAGGGAAGAAATATTTTTGGGCAGAATTTTAAAAAATGGCTAATTTTCCAAGCGAAGAATGCAGCACACAATACAGCAGATGGCAAGTGGCTGCATGAAGGGCAGACAGGGCTGGAACATGTGCACAATTTGACATGTTTCTGTTGTACTAAAAATTCAATATACAATACATACCAGGAAAAGTGATATTAACCTTTGGAGTCTGTGATGTACTGCCACAAATGCATTTCAATGGGCAAATGGAACAATGATGTTCTGCTGAGGTACCAATGGTTTTACTCTGTATATATTCAAAGGATCAGAAGTTTAGTCTTCTGCTGAATTTTATTGGGGGCAGGGGGAGTCCATCTTAGTTCTATGTCAGGATAGACTTGCCCCAGCTGAGATTCAAACTAGGCACTTCTCAATTTATAAATACATATTTATTTTACAAGTAATAGTACTTACATAGCAATCAGTCCCACAGTAACTTCAGCTTTCAATATGAAAAATGTGCACTTTGGTATGCATACTGATTTTTTAAACTATTAATCTGAATTAAATATGTTATACTGCATGCATGACTATGGTGACTGAATTACAAATTAACATAATGGCACACATTACTTGAAACTTCCTTTGTTAAATGTCTGCAGTCACACATTTTAGACATGGCACAGGGCATGGTGTTTATTTTTATAGCTTTTGTCATAATCAATAAATGGCTTTCATACTACTCAGGTATTGGCAGAGAAGTGTCTAGGAATGTGTAAAAAAAATCTTATTGAAATATTCATATTTATTTATTTACCTTCTACTATGGTAAAAAAATTTATAAGCTGAATGGGTGGGTACTCACAAAAATTTCAAGTCAGGTATAAACATGTAAGATTTGAGGTTTTCACAGCGGTGAGTATGAAGATTTAACATGTTAAACAAAATTTTGAAGTACCCACATTATGTGTATAGAGTGTAAATGCTAATGACTTTGAATTATGTGATAATCTTAATTATTTAATACAGAATTATTAAGGTCTGATTGTAATAAAATAACCTGAGGAATAACATATACAATTACCTTAGACTGTGCTGTTTCAGTGTTTGAAACATGGGTCTGCAATAAAATATGCAAAAATTAATTAAAACAAGTGAAGGAAACTGAAAGTAAACAGAATATATAACAGATTAAACAAACAATAATGCCTAATAAATGTGAAATGAGAATATTCATGCAACTAAGACAAAACACTGTACTGTGTAACCTCAACATAACAAGAATTTATAAAATGCGGAGTAATTATAACTCTGGTAGGTATTCAAATTGGAAAATTATTGAAATTGAAATCTTCAAGATTTCTAGCTACTTATTAAGTACATCCCAATATGACACTAAATTAAAGTAAAATAATGTGTGTAAGGCAATATTTCTTCTTTGAAGTGGTTATCAAAACAATAATTTTGCCTGTTGTTTTATATGGGTGCAAAACATGGTCTCTCACTCTGAGGGAGGAACATAGATTGCAGGTGTTTGAGAATACGCCTGCAAAAATGAGGTGCATGAGAATGAGCAGGGATGAGTGTGCCCAAAAAGAAGCAAAGTGACACATGACGGAAAATGTTCAGAGAAAGTGTAAATGTTGACAGCAGTGCACATATCCAGATTTGTTAATGAAGGAGTTCATACAAGGTGAGGTGCTCTATTACATCAAGGACTGCACTATCTGAGAGCCAATTATATCCAGCATTACACAGAGAAGGACTAATCTCACAGCACAGAAATTAAAATAAAACTGTACCTTCCTCTCCCATTGCCATTCTTTGCTGAGTTCTGTCAGTTCCTCTTTATATCTTGCTTCTGCTTCTGTCAACTGTTGTTCCAGACACATATGCCATTTGTTGTCTACTTCAACTAGTTCCTGCTGGTGAGCAGCCTGCAGCTCTTCTATTCGATGTCCACAGTCACACAGCTTGGTATCCTTCACCTACATGAACATCAAATAACACAAAAATAGTTAACCACCTACACTGGCTGCAGAAGCTTTGTTATACCACAAAAGTTCATCATAATTATAATATTAGCTCTAGTTTGAATATAATACTAATTGCATTTTGGCTTGTTTACTGAAGCTATCAACTTCACAGGTTACAACTTACAAACTACAGTAAGTTATAAGTATATGAGCATGATTCAAATAAGAACTGAAAAATCATCATAAATTGTAAGAAATGCAAAACACAATAAAAAATTTAGTCATGTTGTATGTGTAAAGTATGCTGGCAACACTGCTCCATCTGCTGATGTCATCTTTGTACAGATGTGGAATACTAAATGGCACCACCCTTGCAGTCATGCATGAAGACTGAGGTGTGATCTATAATTCATCTTCTAAATCCAGAATAGAAGAAAAATGGCCAAAATGTTATCATGAAATACTGGTTCAATATGGTGAAGTGGCATGAGCAAGCAGTAAGTCTATGAGTTAGTGAATACATTTAAAACATTATTAAAAGTGCTGAATATTCTTCACTTGTCCAAGGAAATTGAATTGTGATGCCGGACAACATCACAGCCGTGGATGAGCTTGTGCAAGCAATTGAAAATCATGTGAAAGCAGCAATTCATAAAAATAAACTGTGGGGTTTAACCAGAGGCATGTGGCTACAACATGACAATACCTGTCCTCAAACTGCTGACTGCATGCTGGAAATGGTACAGGAGATTAGGTTCAAAGTGTTACCTGACCCTCCATGTTTACCAGACTTACAAAGAGTGGGTATCTAGCCACTAAAAGAAGCATCAGGATGTTACTTATCAGATAAAGAAATAAAGACAGTGGTGTGTGAATGGATGTGAGACAAAAAATTCTCTCTTGGAAAATATACTCACTGACATTGTACAGCAGAGATGTGCAGAATAAAATAAATGGGAGCTACATTGATGTGTGCCCTATATTTTGCTTGTTAGGTGATTTTAATTTCTAACTTTCATATTTCTTACTTGAATCACACAATACAATTGTTTCTTTCTTGGTTTATTTAATGACATTTAAAAACAACATAAGTAACAAGCTCCATAAAACTTATGCCTGCCAAATACACAATATTCAGAAACAAAACACTTGCTTTGGAAATTAAACTAATCTAACTCGGCATACCTTTATGCCTCCTTCATGCTGCACATGCACATGCTGGAAAGCTTCTCCTTGGGCCTCAGACATCTCATGTAATTTTTTACTAGGGTCCCAGTACTCTCTGACTTGTAGATTCTCTTCCTGCTCTCTCCTTTCTACAAACAAAAGTATTCATATCTGTAAACTTGCATAGTTACTAATATCTCTGTCTTGGAGTAGGTATACTCATATGATAAGGGAATTGTAACATTTCAAGGGTGAATGATAAATCACACACATACACATCGTAACTACTATGTGATTCAAATAAGTTTACTTCCAAAATTTAAAAACAATAATTATCATATGAACAAACATAATTTATCAAAATGCTAAAGCAGGAATTAGACTAATTAGCAAGGGAATGTTGCTAATCAAGATCACTGTTGGAAGGTCTATGTGAAAAAATGGAGAGGGAACGAGAAATAGACATGGCAATACCATAAACCTACCTTCCTTCATGAAATCATAAAATATGTTAAGTATGCTAGAAATGAACTTATATCCTTATATCAGGATGCAATAATGGTGAATGAATCAACTTCAAAAACCATGAACATTTTATATTTTGAGCTTCAAATAAGCATCATTATGTATTTTTAAAAAATATTGTTCTCCAATACTTATCAAAACTTTATACCCTCCAAGTTAAAAAGTTCATCCTTTTCTACCAGCTGCTTTTCAAAGTCATGTGCCAACTGCTTCATCTTCTGTGCATGAATATCTTCCAACTCAGCAAATTGCTTCTCTTTTTTCTGGACGTCCATGAGGGTCTTGCCCAGTTGATCTTCCTTTTCCATAAGCATCTTCTCCAAATCATGCACTCCTCTTGCGTTTTCAATCTTAGCACTTAAACGATGTTCCAGATTTGCCTTCTCTTGTAGGGTGTCTTTCAGTTGCTTTGTCAGTTCATCTATAACCAAACAACATCTCTCCTGCTCTGCCATCTCCACCTGCAGTTTTCCCATATTTTCTGTTGTGGCAGTTAATGTTTGTTCCAGATCCAGCTTTTGCTTCAAAACACTGTCCAGCTTTTCCTGCAAGTCTTTATTCTCCACATATAACTTTTCTATTTGTATCTTCTGTTCTTCTTGCTTTCCTTTCCTACTATTTTCTTCATCATTTAACTGCTGCGCTAAAATTTGTTTCTCTTGCATTAGATTTCCAAACTGTTTTTCAAGATGACTTTTTTCCATGAGAATCTTTTCAAGATTCAGCTTTATTTCCTCTGCTACTCTTCCCTCACAAATGGACTCTTGAAGCTCCTTTCTCAACTCCTCTAGCTGTTGTGTCACAAGTTCTTTTTCAGAAGTAAGGGTTTCATTTTCTGACTTCAAATTTATCAACTCTGACTGAAGACTCTGAATTTGATCGGTGAATTCTTTCTCTTGTGTAACATCACTGTTAATAATATTTTCCAGAGCAGTCTTTTCTGTTTTTAGCTGTTCACTTAATTCATAATTTTCTTTATTCTTCTTCCTTAAGCTATCAACAACAGAATTCTGCTGTTCAAACTGCTTCGCCAAAAGATCATTACTTTCTTTCACACTCCTACATTCTTCTTCTAACAATTTAGACCTCTGCAATTCCATGTTCAACTGCTCTTCTAGTTTAATATTGAGCTGCTTGATATCTTTCTCCTTTGTTTCCAACAATAATTGCTCTTCTAACCACTTTTCCTTCTCCTTATTCAAAGTAATTAATTTTGCTTCTGTTTCCAGGATCTGATTAGATTCAATATTAGATCTGGATAAAATAGTTTCCATTTCAGCTGCCATGATTTCAAGCTGTTCCTGTTTTTCTTTCAGTAGTTGACCTTGGCTAGTGTTTCCCTTGCTAATATTTTCCATTTGGGCTGAAAGGAGTTGTTCTCTCTGATCAGTTTGCTCCAATCTGAATTTCAAATCTGACAGGTCTTCCATAGCTTTAATAAGTTCTTCTTTCAAAACCGCAGCCTCAGCCGACAGCTCTATTTCTCTCTGCTGAGACTGCTCTAGTTGAGATGTTACAAGTTGAAATTGTTGCTTTTCATTCTTTAGCTCCTTCAGTAATGACTGAAATTCCATCTCAAGTTTTGTAATTTTTACTTTATCTGATTCTGATTTATTGTTCCAGGCTTCTTCCTGCAATTTCATGTTTTCAACAACCTTCAACTTTGTTTCTTGAATATCCTCAATTTGACCCTCCAGGGACTGTTTTTCATCATTGACTTTCTTTAATCCATTTGATAATTTCCCTATTTGTATCCTCAAACCTGTTACTTCATTGCTTGAATCACTTAAAGAATCAGTCAGCCTTTCTATTTTCTCATTAAGAGCATAATTTTCTTCCTTGTGTCCAGTCAAAACAGATGTTAATTCATCCACAGTTCCAGATAGCATCATTTTGTCATTAATAACAACTGTTACCTCTAATTTCAGTGATTCACACTGTTCTTCTAATTCCTTAACCTTTTCATCTAGTTTATTTTTTTCCAATTTCAAGTTCTTATAATTGTCACTGATTTTTTTCAATTTACTTTCAGCAATGTTTACATCACCTTGCAATCTTGTAATTTTATTATTGTATTTATCATGCTTTTTCTTTAATTCACTTATCTTTATATCTTTTGATTCTAATTCAATTTTGTAATCACTTGCAAGCTTTGCCAAATCTTCATTAGCTTTCTTAGTTTTAAGAGTTAGTTCCTTCTGAAGGTCAGTTACATTGTCATGTAGTTCAGATGTTTCTTGTTCTTTCTTCTCGAGAGTTTTCATCACATTCTGCAATTCATGCTGAAGTTTTTTGATTAAAGCATTATTTTCTGAAACCTCAGTTTCCAAATTTTTCTTTGACAATTTCAAATCTTCTAACATTCCTTCAAAGTTCCTTCCAGACTTAATATTTGCTTCCTGTTCACTTAACTGTTTTTCTAATACTGATAAATTATCTTTCAACTTAGAGTGAATATTAACTTTCTCCTGCAATGCCTTGCTGACAGTCTCCACTTCCTTCTTGGCCAGATTAAACACATCCATTACTTCAGACCCTATTCCACCAACTTCCTGTTTTATGCAGTTTAGGCTACAATACACATCTGTCCTCAAAGTCTGAAGAGAAAGCTTCAACTGTGCAACAGCCTTCAGGCTACCTACTAGACATGAACCAAGGTTTTCCTTCTCCTTCAAAGCTTTCATACACTCTTCTACTGCTTCATTCAACTTTAATTCAAGATTGTGAACTTTCCCTTTCAAGGATGCTATCTCAGACGATAAACTATTCAACTCTGCATCTCTGTTTTTCAAAGTAACATCCATATTTCCCATTTTATTTATCAAATCTATGTATTTCTTTTCAGCTTCACTTTTCTTTGACAACTCCACATGCAGCTGTGTCTGTACCTCTGCCAACACTTTTTGCCCCTCTTGAAGTTGCTGTTCATGCATGTCATTCAACTCCTTGATCTCTTGGTCTCGTTCTGAAAGTTTACTTTCAGCTTGCAATCTATCAGCTGATTCAAGTTCAACTTTAGATTTCAGAAACATTAATTCTTTATTATGTTCATCAGCAATTAGTTTAGAGTTGACTTCAAATTCTGCGATCACATTCTCCTTCTCTGCAAGTTTTGTTTCAGCAGCCAGTAGTTTATTCTCAAGTTCCTTCATTACCTCTTCTAGTTCAGAATTCTCTTCAGAATTACTATGGACCTTCCAAGCTGAAGATCTTTCATTCTGTATGGATTTAAGCTTCAGTTCTTTATTTGCTTGATCCTGTTCCTCAACCTGCTGTTTCAGTGTCTGAATTTCAGCTTCAAGCCCCAAGTTTATTAGTTCAAGTGAGTGCAGCTTATCAGACATTTCTGTTTCCAGGTTTATTAATTTTTGTTGCATTTCTTGTTGAAGCAATTTCACTGCCTGTGCTTTTCCTCGAGACAGCTCCTGTGGAAAAAAAACAACTTCCATTAAACATAAATAAAGTGATTTCCATAATGAGGTTCTCCATATTCTTCATACAAAATTATAAAATTGGAATATTTCCAATTAATTTGCATAACAACATAATAAAACAGCTGTGTGTAGAAGACTTGTATAATTTCACATTACCAGCCATTGTGAAAAATGAAAGAACAGAATAAAAAAAATATACTTAAACAGACTAATATCCAGAACATAATAGATAAGAAAATCAAGACTATACTTTATACTTTTTTATAAACCTCTCCATGAAGATCTTTTCCTGACTTTACCAGTCTTGATTAGTTTTTTCATATATTTTAACAGTTCTTGTCTTTCATTTTGATTTATTTTACCCCTTTACATCTTTACATCATAATTAAGTTCTGCAAATTCAACTCCTACTTCAAGAGAAAATTTTAGGTGCATGGACATTTGATATTAATTACACCACATTTCCACTGCATATACCTTGAATGATGTTTATTTAAAGATGAGATCTATATTGAGCTCTACCTTCTAATTACTATTTTCTGTGGGGATAAAGATGATTTTTATTTTTTAAAAATTCTCACCGGCTTTCTGTGTCAACATTGTACAGGGTGATTCAAAAAGGACTTTACAACTTTGAAAGTGTATAGAAATTTATTCAGAAGGCTTACAGAATCGGTTGAGGTGTCATTTTGTAGCAAAACAAATCAAGTTTTACCTCAAACAGTCATTTTGGTTCGATGTGATTGCAATTGGTGATACTGCAGACATCCCACCTGAAATCAATTT